GTGGACGCAGAGGAAGCAAGTTCAGAAGCCCCTGAACTACCTGTAGTGGAAGCAGAGGAAGCAAGTTCAGAAGCCCCTGAAGTACCTGTAGTGGAAGCAGAGGAAGCAAGTTCAGAAGCCCCTGAAGCATCTGTGGTGGAAGCAGAGAAAGCAAGTTCAAAAGCCCCTGAAGCATCTGTGGTGGAAGCAGAGGTAGTTGGTGCTGGAGAATTTCCAGGGGCTACAGATGCACTCATAAAAGAGGTTTCAATCTGTCCAGAAGGTGTGGACGCTGCTCTGGTGGGGAAGGCAGCAGTTGGTGCTGAAACTGGGCCAGAGGGTACAGATGCACCCACGAGTGAAACCCCAGAAGTCAATGCCGAAACAACCCTAGGGGTTACAAAGGCAGCTCCATATGAGGCTGTTGCCAGCAGTCATGATAAAGATATAACAGAGAACGAAAGTTCTGATGAACACGCTGAACTAAAAGAAGAAATTTCCGCAGCTGAGTCAGAATCCTCTGCTGGGGATGTTTTACAGGAAGAAGTCAGTGTTGATTCTGAGGCCGCCTCAACTCAAGGCTAATCTCATGCTGGTAGACATTTCAACAAAACATGCCATAGAGTGTCTGAGAGGTGCTTTTGTATTTTTTGTGATTTTAGTTTTTAACAGGGCTTCTGTTCTAGAAAACCTTAATGTGCCTTGAAGATTTTTGGTGTCTACTGATAGATTTTAGGACTGAGAGATTTGAGATTTTACATGTTTTAAGAGTTTTATACTCTCTGATATGAGAGTATAAAATTGGAGTAATGAGCTTAAATAGTTCCATTTTTTAATTTAAATTTTATAGGAACTGAACTATCTATGTAATGCCTATTCACTTTACTTTTGCTATGTCTTTACCATACTATATTATGTAGATCTGGATTACTGAATTTTGATTTGAACTCATTTAAATAAAATTGAAAAATCTTTAGTGCTTCTACTTTTATTCATGAATACTTATATTTCTACAAAATATATTGTATATTAACATATGCACATATAAATGACATGAAGAAATTAAGCATTTGCAATATTTATTGAAGAAAGAACATATTCTCTATGGAGAACTCTGCATATAACAGTATATATGCCCTTTCTCCTATTTCTATTACATGAGGGACTGGGCAGATATTTTCAGTTTCAGTTCAGGTCAGTTCAAGCAATATTTGTGCCAGGAAGAATTTATTCATTCATTCATATATTCAACAATATTAACTGAACATGTAGTATGTATCAAACACTGTTTTAAGTGCTGGGGATTAAAAAAAAGATAAAAATTTATACTGTCTCCAGTTTATAATCTAGACAGGGGCTAGATAAATAAGAAAACTATACAGTGTGTTAGATACTGATAAATGCTAAGGAGAAAATTAATGAAAGTAAGGGGCTGCTAAGGGGTAGATAATAAGGAGTGAAGTTGTAATTTTATATAGGGCAGCCAGAGAACCCTAGCTAAAAGGTATCTTCTGAGTAAACACCTGAGGACGGATGGAAGATACCAATGCAAAGGATCTGAAGTACGAGAATGTGGAGGGTTCGAGGAATTGCAGAGTAGCCAGTGTGGCTGAAATGGAGTAAAACAAAGGGGGAGTAGTTGAAGATGGTCTCAGAAAGGAAAGGGAGTGGGTATGGAAGGATGGCTAGATCATGTAGGGTCTTGCAGGATTTTAGCTTTTACTTGGAGTAACTTGGGAAACTGTAATGGACACTATTGATGCTCTGCCTGGATTCCCTTTACTGGCTCAGTACATTTACCCCCAGCTGATACGAGTGTTAGACCGTCACCTCTACCTCCACCCAGGCAGCTCACAGCCAGGGACTCACTGCTGTAGTGTATAAAAGCTGCTGTCAACTCTGTGGTGCAAGTCTTGCTCCAGAGCTCCCCATAGGCTCAGGTTAAAGCCAGTTTCCAGCTGAGGTTAAATCCTAACCCCACCCCCACCCCCACCACCCTAGCCTGCTTTCCTCTCTCCTGTTCTCCTGAGGGCTCTCCATCAATAAATCACTTACTGAAGAATCCCTGTATCAAGCTCTGCTTCTGAATAATTGACACTGGATGGGGTCCTAGGAAGCAAACTCTAAAAATAGGATTCTGGGGTTGTATTACTTGCCGGTAAGGTAGATGGTAACGAGGACCCCGTCACAGGTGGTAGGTGGGGGATTGCCAATCCTTGATATTCTGTAACAGTGTGATTGCTAAGATTTTCACCCGTGGTAAACTGTCGCACAATATAGGTGGAAGTGGATGCATTGGCTGGCTCAATGCCTCTGGCATTTGAAAGGTACACAGAAAAATTAACTATAAGGACTATGGAGTTGGGTGGCTCTTGTTGAGTACTATTGAAGACAGAAAATGACAGGCTCAGGCCTATCAATTCGCTATGTGAAGCAAAGTGTCAAAGACCCTCAATAGCAAGAGGGAAGACAGAGCCAAAGACCAGGCAGGCCAAGACTTAATTGTAAGCATTGCAGAACATAAGAGAAAACTGAATTGTCAATCTAGGTAAGCTTCCTGTGCCAAATCAGGGCCCTTATAGGTAAGGAGTGAGACTCTAAGATCTGATATGGGCATATCTGGGTAGTTGTATTTAAAAGCCTTGATTTCCTAGATTTTCTTAAACCCTCTGGAACTACAGAAGAGCCCACTCCCCTTATTGGAAGAAGACTTGTAAGAGGACTCTGAAGTAACTTCAAATGAGCAGACGCCACACAAAGTAATGCTTGTCTGCCTCAGGATCTGTCTCTTCCTCTCCTCCTCATCTGTAGACTCATAATTAGGGTCAAATCTCAGCGCAGTCTGGCTAGGACAGTACTGAGCCTGTTTAGGGAGAAGAGAAATTTACACCAAAGGATCAACAGGACCTGGCTAACATGAGCTGACAGGAACTGGAAGAGTATGCTGACAGGAACTAGATCCTATGTGTGTTAGATCAAGCTGGGAGTAGGACTGGTACATAACCAGCCCTACTACGTAGTAGGTGTTTGTTAGGTCTACCTAGAGCTAGATAAGAGAGAGTTTGTCAAGATACAGGCATTCTGTTTTTATATAGGATTTAATGCCCTGACAAAGGCTGTGGAGGGTCAGTTCTAATAGATTGTTGGAATGATTCTTGGAAGCTTGAAAAACCTAATTTGCAATTGAGAGTACTGTTTCAGCTGATTAATTGGGTGACATGAAACAATGCTAATTTTGAGTGGGCCTCAGAGCAATAAAAGGGCTGTATAGCAGGTCCAGGATGTGGTAAAGCAGCCCTCCTACTTGGACCATACAAAGTGGCAGATGCCATAGTACTTGAGGTGTCTGTGGCAGAGAAAATGCTGAGAGGTGCCTCTGGCAAGCTTCAATAAGATTTTTGCAGTGCAGGCCCCTAGAATTCTGGAGGAAGGCAATACCATCTGTGTCTTAGTCATCTAGTGCTGCTGTAACAGAAATATCACAAGTGGATGGCTTTAAAAAAGAGAAATTTATTCTCTCACAATCTAGTAGGCTACAAGTCTAAATTCAGGGTGTCAGCTTCAGAGGAAGGCTTTCCCTCTCTGTCAGCTCTGGAGGTAGGTCCTTGTTATCAATCTTCCCTTGGTCTGGGAGCATCTCAGCAGAGGTCCAAAGGACGTGCTCTGCTCCTGGTACTGCTTTCTTGGTGGTATGAGGTCCCCCTGTCTCTCTGCTTGCTTCTCTCTTTTATATCTCAAAAGAGATATAAGACACTATCTAATATTGTAGATCTCATCAATATAACTGCCACTAATCCATCTCATTACATCATAGTGATAGGATTTACAACACATAGGGAAATCACATCAAATGACAAAATGGTAGACAGTCACACAACACTGGGAATCATGACCTAGCCAAGTTGACAGTTTTTAGGGACACAGTTCAATCCATGGCAATCTGTCACTGGGAACTATACACCATTTGAATAGCAGCTCCTGATATACTATTGAGCATCTGATCGGGAAACAGCAAATGAACGTAATGCTAGAACGTCCTATCATGAGCTAGTTACTGTCTAACCCATCAAATTATAAGATCAGATAGGGCAGCAGTAGCAATAATGGAATAAAATGGAAGTGCTGTACCTGGGATGGGTCTGAGCAAGTTTAGAGACCCAAACGAGCTTCTATTCAATATTCTATTCCAATTGAGGCTTGCTGGCACATTTCTCTGCCACAGATACCTCTAGTACCATGGCGTCTTCCAAATTGCATTGGGTCAAGTGAAAGGGTTGCTTTAGGATGGCTTGTACCTGCTATGGAGCCCTTTTTTTGTTTTATTTTGTTGTTGTTTGCAGGAGTAGAGCCTCAGGCAGTGCACTTTTTAATCCACTTTGTGTTGAAGCAGAAGTGATCTGAGATAAGGATATGCATAGATTCATGGGCACTGGGAAATGGCCTAGCTGGATGATCAAGGATCTGGAAAAGCAATATTGGAAGATCAAGTACAAGGAGAACTGAGGAAGAGAGATGTGGATGGACCTATGAGAATGAGCATGAAGTCTGAGGATCTTTGTATCTCATGTTAATATCCACCAGGAAAATATCCACTACAGAAGAGACACTAAACAATCAACTGGACAAGATGACTCAGCCAGCAAATATCAGCTAGACTCCGCCCTCCGCCACCCAAGGGCTTGAGCAAAAGGAACTTGAGTGTAGTAGCCATGGTGGTGGACATGGAGCCTCTCCATGGGACCAACAACATGAGCTCCCTCTCACCAAAGCTGATTAAAGCACTGCTGCTTTTTTCAGACCAATACTGAAATCTCTGACATGATATCCCTTAAGGAGACCAGTCAGCCACTTGATGGCAAGTTGATTAAATCAGATCACTTCCATTCTGTAAGCAAAAACGTTTCATCCTACTGCAATTGACATGAATTCCAGGTGTACTAGTTTTCCGTTGCTGTGTAATGGAACTATATTGAAGATACACATCCTGTTGTTGTTGTTAGGTGCCCTCGAGTCAGTTCCAACTCATAGCGACCCTATGTACAACAGAATGAAACACTGCCGGGTTCTGGGCCATCCTCACAATCGTCGTTATATTTGAGCCCATTGTTGCAGCCACTGTGTCAATCCATTTTGTCGAGAGTCTTCTTCTTTTTCATTGACCCTCTACTCTACCAAGCATGATGTCCTTCTCCAGGGACTGGTTCTCCCTGATAACATATCCAAAGTACATAAGATGAAGTCTCGCCATCCTCCCTTCTAAGGAGCATTCTGCCTGTACTTCTTCCAAGACTGGTTTATTGGTTCTTTTGGCAGTCCATGGTATATTCAATATTCTTCACCAACACCATAATTCAAAGGCATCAATTCTTCTTCCATCTTCCTTATTCATTGTCCAGCTTTCACATGCATATGACGTGATTGAAAATATCATGGCTTGGGTCAAGTGCACCTTAGTCCTCAAAATGACATCTTTTGAACACTTTAACGAGATCTTTTGCAGCAGATTTGCCCAATGCAATGTGTCATTTGATTTCTTGACTGCTGCTTCCATGGGTGTCAATTGTGGATCCAAGTAAAATGAAATCCTTAACCATCCTTTTCTCTGTTTATCATGATGTTGCTTATTGGTCCAGTTGTGAGGATTTTTGTTTTCTTTAAATTAAGATGTATTCCATACTGAAGGCTGTAGTGTTTGATCTTCTTCAGTAAGTGCTTCAAGTCCTCTTCACTTTCAGGAAGCAAGGGTGTTATCTGCATACCACAGGTTGTTAATGAATCTTCCTCCAATCCTGATGCCATGTTCTTCTTCACATAGTCCAGCTTCTCAGATTATTTGCTCAGCATATAGATTGAATAAGTATAGTGAAAGGATACAAACCTGACACACACCTTTCCTGATTTTAAACTATGTA